ACATCACTGCGGCACCGTGGTCAAGAATTGGACATTTCGAGAAGCTCTCTACAGCGTATTCTCACGAAAGATTTGAATCTTCCTGCTTACAAAGTTCAATTGACTCAAGAACTGAAGCCTACTGACCATGCACAGCAAAAGGAGTTCGTTGAGTGGATTATGGAACAAGTGGATGCTGATTTTTCGAACAAAATCATTCAGCGACGAGGCTCATTTTCATCTTGATGGATTGGTTAATCAACAAAATTGTCGCATTTGGGATTCTGAAAATCCAAGAGTGATTGTTGAGAAACAAATGCATCCACAACGTGTCACTGTTTGGTGCGGGTTTTGGGCTGGAGGCATCAATGGACCATTCTTCTTTGAAAATGTGGCTGCTCAGACAATAACAGTTAATGCTGCTTGCTATCACAACATGATAATCCATTTACCCGAAATGCTATTCCATACATAACCCTATACTCAATACTTTATGAACAAATAAAAAATTTACAATTTTTAATTATAAACCTGTGTTTTCTATCAAAATTACTTCTTGCGTGAATTTTGGGACAGCCTTTATTTCACCCTAAAGGATCACCAAGTGGAATCAAGACCAGGTAGGAACTGACGGGCTTTGTGGGGAACATTAAGCGTCAATCTTTGCTCCAAATGCTCACCCACCAGAAATTAACCCAGCGTCCAGGCAGACAGAGGGAAAGCCAACTATCACGGATACTTTAAGGTCTGGGAACGTAGCATGTCATTTACTTTAGTGCAGGTCCCCGGTAACCTGAGATAATAACGCGTCAACCCCAGCAGCAGAGGTGGCACCTGCTCATCCTCCCGCCTGGGGAGTGGCCTCAGGGAGATCACAGAGCCCTCCCAGGAGGCCTGGGTGGGGGAAATGGGCTGGAGGACATGTGCTCTGGGACCAGCAGGGGGCGGTGGTGCACTGGGACTGAGAGCTCAGGGCTCTGGGCCAGGCAGCTGGGAACACCCTCTACTGGCCCCTGCACACTTGGGCAGGCAGTTCCTCACTCAAGTGTGACTTCCCTGCACCTGGGGCCCAGGAGCCACATGAGCCCTCAGCTCTGACACCCACACTTGTCTCCCCTCTCATCCCCCCTCATGGAGTCATTGTCCAGGCCTCATTCATAGACAAAGAGAGATAAGCAATCACACAACAAAAAGTAATAGTTTTAATATGTAAATGATTGGCTGCTGACTCCAACATAAATACCATCAATCACAGTGTCATTTCCCTCTGATGGACGCCAGTGTGTGTATTAACCATCCCCAACGACAGGAGACATGTGGTGCCCTGCTCATCCCCTTACATTTCTCCATCCCTCCCATTCTTCCTGCCCCTCAGGGAAAGGGACTTTTAAACTGTTCTGTGATGTTCACACCAACTCGTCACACTGTGTTGATCTCATTTCTGATCACAACATACATGCTTCTATTTCGTCATATCTGATGGTAATCGGTTTGTCACAATAACATGGTGACACTGTGACATTTCCTCCTCAAAGCTGCATTGCATTGAAAGCTATCCCATTTAATGGATGGCTTCCTAGAACAAAAGAGAGAGGCCACCCCTGCCTGGCAGGGCAACTGTCTGAGTCAGGACCCTGGTCCCTGGATCTCTTTTCCTGGGACAGGAACTAACATGGCTGGACAGAGGACTGACTGCTGGAGGGAGGACTGACTGCTAAGATCCTCCAAAGAAGACAAGGAGGGGTTTCCTGAGGAAGCAAGCAATGATCCTAAGAGTGGGTTTGGATTGGGGTGAACTACATTGCTGGGGCCAGGAGGGGCCGGACACTCCCACCTCACCCTTCAGCCTCAGACCCTCCAGGGAAGGAAGTGAGGACTCAGGTCACCAGGACCCCAGGGCACTGACTTGGTGAAAGACCTCAACCCCCTCCCTCAGTGTCTCAGTTAATGTGGAGACTATTGGTCTGTGTGGGGGCCCAGCATCTGCCTCTTTCAAGATCCCCCAGGGGACAGCAGGGTGCCCCGGGGGCAGGACTAGAGGGGAAGCTGATTTGCATGAGGCACCTCCTCTCCTAATGGGTGAGGGAGGCATGAAAAGGCACAGGACTCCCCACTGCAGCCCAGGAGCCGTCCAATGTCAGTTCTGCAGGAGGGACAGTCACACTCACCTGTGGCCTCAGCTCTGGGGCCGTCTCTAGTGGTAACTACCCCAGCTGGTTACAGCAGACCCCAGGCAAGCCTCCTCGCCAGCTCATCTACTATACAAACACCCGCCCCTCTGGGGTCCCTGATCGCTTCTCTGGCTCCATCTCTGGAAACAAAGCCGCCCTCACCATCTCGGGGGCCCAGCCCGAGGATGAGGCCGACTATCACTGTGCTCTGTACCTTGGTAGTGGCATTCACACAGTGATGGAAACCCACGGGGAAGTGCAACCAAAACCTCCTCATGGGCTCAGACTGGCTCAGCCTTTGATGCAGAAAATGCCTGAATGTGGAAATGGCCACACAGCATGGGAAGGGAGCTCCCTGACTCCATTCTCCTGTCCGAGGATTCGTGGTCATGTGCCTCCTCAGTTTTTCCCTTGGTGGGTCCATCTCGTCATGTGACTCCTGCAAGAATGGGCTTTCCCTCTTCCTCTCTGCCCATAGTTACAGGGACGGACTCAGCTCCCAACTGCATTGAGACTCAGAAATATAAGCAATACTTATAAGTCTCCCCTAATTTAAAGAGCAATAACAAGATATCATCATTCATGAATCTGACTGTGGAGACAAAGTTAATGCTTATTGTGGCCTTGAAATGTAGCATTACATGTAGTGGTCAGAAACGCAATTCCCATGTTAGACCCACTGAGTCAGATACGTGCTGTCGTCCCAGAATCTCTCTGTCCACATGGTCTCCAGGAGGAGGTTCAACATGAATGCTGGAGAAGCTCCTCTCCTTCCATTGTTACCTTCTTTCCTCCACACCAAAGAATAAACTCAAAATGCATGAAAGACTGACATGTAAGCCTCCAAACCATAAAACTCTGGAAAATATATAGGTTCTAAAATCTCTGACAGTAATCTTACCAACATTTTCTCTAATGCATCTCCTCAGATTTGGAAAGCAAAAGGAAAAATAAATCAAAAGGACTAC